ACTGTTGGCGAGGTGGGTGCTGTTGCAAATAAAAACCATTTGACTTCACATTTCTGGACTGATAACCTGAGCCAGGTTGACCGTTTCTACATGTGTATGTGCCCTAGTAAATATGTACATATGTGACATACTAAAAACACCAAAGCAAATCATAAAAAATATCTGAACAAAAGCAGAATATTGCAGAGGGAAGAAATTATTCAGTATATGACTCGTAGAGTAAATCATCTGCAGGACCTAAATCTTGACAAGTGATTGCTACCTTCTGACATTCCTTCAAAGACTTACCCATCCTTAAGTGTTAAAAATAATGGACACACCAAGCTATGACTCTGGTTCTTGAAGTCTTTTGTAGTAATTAAAAAAATTTTAACCATCCTGAGTAACATTTTATTAATGCATCAAGTCACATTTTATGTCTTGTAAACTTTAGTCTCTCTTTGCAGTTTCCCTCAGGTTTCTCCAGGGATATTCAGAGACATGACTCAAGAGGAAGATTGGCTGACAACTCAGAGCTCTGATGAATTTTAATGTTCATTCTACTACATAATAAAACATCTCATTCTTTTCAGCAAACAAGGCGTAGGAGACAGGATTAGCATCACATCTGTAGTTGTCTTGAGGAGGGACAAGGTTCAGTGGAGAGGAGATTAGAATTTAGATGAAGTCTAAGATGGATTGTATGGTATTTTAATATTTAATTTTAAAATCCAAAATTGTTTAGTGAAAGATTTGCTCTAATCACTTGTCCAGAGAATTGAAGAATTTAAAAATTAAATCTGCAAACATAAGTAGTCCAGTAAAGATTCAGCTCTCGTACCTGTGCTCTGTTTCTGGCTTGGCCACCAAGCAACTCTGTGGCCTTGACGTTACCTTGACCTTTCCTCATGTCTTCCAACATCTGTTATTTTTCTTGAGGTGGTCCCAGATGAAGAGAGGATTTGGCAGTTACTTGGTGAGTTCTATCGACAGCAGAAAAGAATATATCCTGGTCTATCCTGATGAAGTAGACTAGACGTGCTGCCCTACTGGTCAAGTTCATGGGCAGCTCTCCGAATAGGTTTGGTTTTTTCTCCATGAACATGCAGCACGTGATTATCAAGGCTGCTTTTCACCTGAGGTAGAGGAGTGTTTGAAGGAAAGGAAGCAATTCAGTTCAGAGGACTCATTCTGGAGGACACAGAAGAGAATTTGGAAAATAAAGAAAGGATTTTAGGTCATTTCCTAACGCCACTAAAATCCAGGTAGCAACCTTTATAAGATGCGTTGGAAAAACACACCTTGCTGTATCTACTTGATGTCTCATTAAGGGCAGAAAACAATTTTCTGTATAATAGGCTTTTGCCCCCTACTTGATTTCCTGAAAGGACAGCAGCTAGTCGCCGCCCTCATGGCTGTGTCAGTTCACTGACTGATAGCTACATGGCTAAGGTATGAGCAGGGACATGGGGCTGGGCAGGGGGGCTCCATCCATTCAGATGTGCTCTTGAGTACCTTTTATGTACCAGGCACTGTGAGCTAGGTGCTGGGGACAGAATGTTAACAATATGGAACTAGCTTAAAACCTGGCGAGGTGACTATTGTGAGGTGGGATCAGTAGGACTTGAGAATGTAATGAGGAGACTAACCTAGTCAGTGGGAGGCTGCAAGGGAAAGAAAGGCACTATGAGGAAGTGGTGTTTAAGCAGAGGCTTGAAGGCTGGGGCGGAGTAAGCCAGGGAAAAGGGGGCGCGTGTTAAGGAAGAAGACACAGCAGGTACAAAATACCCGGGACAAATGAAAACCTCCCCCACTCAGAGAAGCCGAAAAAAGTCCAGAGTGACTAGATCTTGAAGAGCAAAGGGGAAAGCCTTAGGGCTAACAAACTGTTGACTCTAAGGTTTGTCGGATGTGCTAAGCGGGTACGGGGTGCCTGCGGGAGTAGGGGCCTCTGAGAGGAGCAGGGTCACTGTGTAGCCCTTATATTTTGCAGAACGTCTGCCATTGGCAGGAGTCAACCTGATACTGCACAGGAGCCCTGCTCTGGCTCCAAGGACAGCAGCTTTTCATTTTAATTGATTCCCAGTGGTGCTCTCTTCCGTCTAGGCCCTGTCCCGATCCTGTAGGGAACCAGGAAAGTGGTGTATCTCCTTCAGTGAGATTTCCCCCTCTGAGGATAGCTTTGGGCAGCGTTTTCCTGCTAGGTTTGTCATTTTCCTGCCTTTAATTTTGGCTCATTGGCTACCCAAATTTGCCCACTTTGATGTTTCCATTACTCTCTCCATCCAGGAATTTCAACCCCATTGGACAACAACAACAAAAAGCAATAGTAAAAAATATAACTTGAATGAGATATCAGAGATGATAGAATCTTTTGAGTGAATTTATACTAAAGTGTAAATGACTGAAACATGCATAACTTCTCCAATCTTCTTTGTGAAAAGCTTGTTTTATATATTTTTACTTTACAGAAGTTTGCATATTACTCTGAGTTTTGATTAGCCATCAGATGAAAATGAAGACTTTCTGTTATAAGGGAAGTCTTTTAGGCCAGTGGGGGCATTTTTCTGAAATCTTTGACAGCATGCCAGTAGTCAGCCATGGACAACGTTAGAAGGAATTAGACCCTGGTCTCATTTTCATGGATTAATTAATATTTCACTCTTTAAAATTTAACAACTGCTCAAACCCGCAGACATGAACAGGAACCCTCTGGAGGGGAGAGTCCCAGACTGCAGAAGACCTTAAGTGCCTCATCCCACATGCCTCAACCCAGGTCACAAGCACAACTCCTCTACCTCTCCCCTTGCCAGGGACCTGCCCCAAGGCAAAGGAGCATCCCTGTGGAAGTCTCAGTGTCTAAAACGCACTGACCAAGTCCTGCTGCTCCCTCAGCCGCGGAAAGCGCTGTCCCACTCCGGTCCCCATACCAGATCCCCACAGGGGACATCCAGCTGGGACCTACAGAGAATGACCCCGCCTTGGGAGGCACATGCCGCCCCCCCCCCCCNGAGCCCAGCCAGAAGAGGCCAGGCGCCGGTGGCTGCGTCGCCCGCCCCAGGGCCCCTGCGCGCTCTCCTGGACCCAACTTAGGCGACACCAGGACCCTCCCTGTCTGGGGCTCTGTTCGCAGCCGCCCTTCATCCCTGCTCGCCAACCTTGCTCCTAGCAGCGTCCGCCAGGGCGCCCGACCTACAGGAAAGTTGCTCGCGAGCGGCTGGAGGGGCGTCATCGCCTCCTAGCAACGCTCCTAGCAACCGGGTAACATCTGCTCCCTCTGGTCCAATGCGAGCGGAGAACAGCTGCGCGCCGCCTCGCGCTGCGAACGGGGAGAGGCGCTGGCGAGGGAAGGGCAGACCCG